CTAGTTGGTAAGTTTCTGGTCCTATGGTTTTGGAAAAAAAGAACAACTTGAAAATGTGAGTGCTAAAGTTTCAAACACCAGAAGGAAAAATAAACCCATACTTTAAAAAAAGTCATGATTTTGAACCCAAACTCATGATTTTTTTAGGGTTCATGACTCATGGCTTTTGAATGCTTGGAGTTAGTGATACCAGATAAGACACACACTCAAAGGGAGAAAGGGACATTGAGCAGTTCTGTGTATTAAATGTGCAAAAATGAATGACAAGATATTTAAAAATAATGTTACAAATATGTTTTACTACTGTCCATAACCATTACATTGAAGATTTGTTAGGCTTGGACCTTGCATCTGATTCACATGGGACTGCATGGATCCCACTCATTTCAGTAGGCTTCTATGTGTACTAAGGGTTTCTGTCTATGTGAAGTTGTATACAGGGTGAGGACCTTGGAACTTCAAGCCCCATCTTTTTGCAGAAGTTAACGGGCCAGATGTAATCCTAGATCTACAATGGCCTCTGTTTGTGTGCTTTTAAAATAATCTTACTGTCAAATTTTCTCAGTATAAACATAAGATATTAAAAGAAAAGAAATCCAGATCTACTTTGTAGGCAGTGTGGAAACTAGCTTTAAAGCATGAAACAATGTCTACATATGCTTTCTACTAGTTCATTGTGCGTTCACTAGACTGACCACTCCACAAAACGGAAAAAAAGGAGAAATTTTGAGGGTCATTGGCCACAGCAAATTTTCACACAGCTCAATGCAATATTATTTAGCAGAGGCAATTCTTATAACTACAATGAGAAGACCTTCCTTTCTTAAAGACAACAAACACTTCTCATCTACCTGGCTGACACCGGACCTGCTTTGCCAACATGCGATATGTGTATATGAAAAAAGATCTGATGTTTGGGGTATGTTTAAAAATTTGTATTTTGTTTTGGGTTCTCCATTACACTGCATGGAGCTTTTACTGGAGAGTTAACTTTGAAAGTAAAATACAGTCACCCTGAATTTTTTCTTTGTAATCCTGATCTAAATGAGAACATGGTATGTTCCCTAGCAATGCTATGCTTCAGGCTTTTATGACTGTCATTCTAAGCTACTGTCCACCTATTACAGAGAGGAGAATTTGTGCTCAGACCTGGCACCTCATCATGGCACAATTCCCACTCAGTTATGCTTTCTCCAATCCACAGTAAATCTTGCATTTTTCATATTCCAATTCGTGACAAGACTGGCGAAGAGGTGAGTCCATTAGGGTATAAAACACAAGGGGCCAGTTCTTCAGTTGTTGTAAATCACTGTGGCTCCACTGCAATCAGTGTAGCTAGGACAGTTTACATCAGTGCAGGATCTGGCCCCCAGGGTTGAAAAGAAAGTGGTGGGAACAAGCAGGAACCATAGCCGTTAAGTCTGATAAATGTTTGCCTGCAAATGTTGGAAACCCCTGGCCTACCAAATCAGGCACCTAGAAAAACTACTCATTTAGTACGTTCCCATCTAGGAATATGTTTAAGATATATAAATTCATCCGGTATATTGCAAATGAAGTGGGTTATTTTACTGTCTGTAAACTGATGGTTTATTTTGATTTGACCCATATCACAACATAGATGAAGCTCCATAAAACTCCTCTCTCTGTAGTCTGAGCTCTCTTTGATTTTCTGTTTTTGTCTATTCCTGCTTTCATTCTGTTTTAGAGACATGGCATTTATTGGACGCTGCAGATGAGAATGAAAGGAATTTCTCTGTTGTAATAATCTAACATTTTTGACAAAAGTTGTTGTAGCTGTATTTCTTAATATGAACATTTGTGAAAATGTTTGGGAGGTGGTTCTTTGGCTGACGTCTGGAGGATAATCTCACTTCTTACTGTATGTGGTAAAACTAGTTAGTAGCAGGAAGAATGAAAGGGATGGAAAATATAAACCCTCACAAAGCTTGAAATAGGAGGTTTGTTTTCATTTGCTCTTGGGATTTTTTGACTAAAGCTTGCAGTGCTTTTTAGGCAAGATTTCTCTATAGGATCAAGGCTGCCTGCAGCATCTTGGAACTACTTCACAACACTAAACAGACAGATGGAATTTAACATTTGTTTTATCTAGTGTAAATACTAAATTAATCAAGAGGAAAAAAAGTTCTGTCTTTGTGAGATCCGAGTGCATTGCAATACAAGATTAATTGAACACAAAGTTATAGGATATACCTATAGTGAATCCACTTAAAAAGTTCTGGAGATATTAATGATGATCCCCATTTTCAATATATGGACTATCCCTGGAACTGGTAAGCACATTAAAATTGGAATGAATTGCAATCCTCTTACGTATATAAAAATGGTGACAATGTTTTTGGGGAAAAATAGTTCAAAAGTAAAGCATGCTTGTCCATGGAGTTTATTGTTATTCATCATTATTACTATTATTTATTAATTTAGCATTGGTTTATGGTCCTAAAATAAGTGATCTATTGTATTTTCAAATTCCTTAAGATTCCCTCTTCCTCTTCCACAGACCTAAGTGGTTCAGGAGCCAAATTAGCAATCAACATTACCCGAAAGTGCCACAGTAGTGTGAATTCATGGTTTCATTCACTATATATATATGATTGACCAAGTATTATTATTATTTTATCAACTATTATTGGTTAATAACATCGTAACAACATCCTGATTGGATAATAACTTAAAATTGGTTAATAATTAAATCACACGCTGTTTTAATATCATGTGCTGCAAAGAGCCGTAGGAGACACGCTAAACAGCCACTTGCAGCTTCCCAGCCTCAATCTGAGTATCACTGGTTTAATGTTTGGGTTTTGTCTAGTCAGTCAAGTGTGATAACTGGCTTTCCCCTGGGCATTGAGGAAGAAAGCAAATACATGTGGTTACCCAGCTCAGAATGCAGGTTTTGATTATGATGACAGACTTTTTCACGTCAGACAAGAAAAATGGGTTCAGGAGCCTGTGCTTGGTTTTTTTCCCATGTGACAGTATCTCAAATTCTGTTCTTCTTCCCCAATGACTTTATGACAAGACAAATAAAGCACCTAATTTTTAATTGACTAATGTAACTAAAATGATAACACTTTAAGCTCAGTAACCAACCAATCATCTTTTGATATTGACTCTGATAACACCTTATTCATTTGGGGCTGGATCATAACCTTGGCTGTGAGCCCATGAAGGAGATTATTTACTGCTCTTCACTCACAATTCATATCACAGGAATCATCGCTGGGGAAGAACAGCTGCTGAAGGGCCTTTTCTCCCTGACTTACACAGGTGGATGGAGACTTGGTTCCATCCCTGGAGAGCTTGTACTCCAGCGGAAATACAGCTAGAGGAAGCACATGGATTGAGGTATAAATCCTGTGGTCTAATCACTAGACAACACCCCACTCCCCTCCCAGTAAAGAGTGTAAAGTCCAGACACAGGTAAAATTACAGTAATAATTTTTAAAAAAACTAATTCAAAATAATTTTATATAAATACAGAACCAACACAAACTGGAAACATAAAATCTGTCATTTCTGCCTGGCTCGCTGGTTACTATAATGGAAAATGGATATTCCCTGGCTACAAGCGGTGATGTTTTTGTCACTTTTTCCTCAGGATATTCCATTCCTGTAATAAAATACTATTAAAATCTCACACTGACACAGTATATTATTATGCCAGGCATAGAGCTGGATCTTATTTTCTCTAAAGCAGCACAATGGTTTTGTTTAATTTTGCCTTGGTGATAATGAAAACATTATTCTCTTTACAATAACTCCAGCAATGTTGATTAAAGATATTAATACACTTCAAAAGGGTGCATGTAATTTCCCATTTGGAAAGCCAGAAGAAATTCCACTGCAATATAGTGATTAGCTCACAATTCTTGGAAGGTGACTCTCAATCAGGTGCTGTAATATGGCATTTGTACTGACCCTAATGCATGTGGAAACACTGGTCAGGCTAAACTTGGAAATTCACACATGGTGGTTGCTAAATTATTTCTGCGAAAAGTAGTGTTTGGTCTTAGGCAGTGTCTTTGAAGAAGTTACAGTGACTGCAGCTCACTTGGGGCCAGGGTGCTGGAACAACTTTTATAGTGGGGGTGTTGAGAGCCATTGTACCAAACTGTAAACCCTGTATATAATGAAAACCACCCCTAGTTCCAGCACCTATACTTGTGGTATGTCTACACAGCAATTAAACACCTACAGCTGGCCTGAGTCAGCTGACTTAGGCTCACAGGGGTCTGGTTGTGGAGCTGTAAAATTGTAGTGTAGATATTCAGGCTTGGGCTGGCATCCAGACTCTCAGAACCCATAAAGGGGGAGGGGTCTCAGAGCTCAGGCTCCAGCTCAAGTCCAAACTTCTACACTACAATTTTACATCCCCACAGCTTGAGTCAGCTGACACAGGCCCACTGCGGGTGGTTTAATTGCTGTGTAGAAATACCCTTGGTGAAGACAATATATCAGATTGATGCAGAGGGCTGAGCGTGACAGAGAAGGGGTTGGATTGCTACCACCTACCTACTTAAAAGTCTTGAAGCATTGCAGTTATAAACCATTATTCCTGGGAGGTCAAAACAGGAATGTGAAAATTAGCTAGAGGCTAGTAATGTGCATGAGAGATTCCGTGGGAACACATTTTCTTGGCTTGTTTTTTTATGTTAAAAAAAAATCAGGTAAAAAAAATCAATTTGTGAGTGAATCCAGTACCCACTATTAATTTTAAAAATGAATACAGTCTTCATTCAGTTATACTCAGGCAAGCACTGGTTGCATCCCCTTGAGAACCGAACCAATGGGATACCACTCGTGCAAGTGTCCATCCTAACAGTGCTGTTCTTTGTGTAGCTGTGCCTCCTCTCCATACTTGGCTGTACTTCACAATTATAGTGGCATTGCCCTCTGGGGACCCATCCCTCAGTTCCTAGCATAGCTGCCTGAAGTAATGGCTTGTGAGGGATTTCAAAAAGGCCTGCTCGGAGACCAAGAGAACTATGAGAAAATAGGCCAGACTTGCAGAAGTGTCCAGGAACCAGAACCATTTCCAAGTTCTTTTCTCAAGGCCAGAACAAATGCTCAATGATCACTGCTTGCTCAGCAAGAATGTTTTTAACTGGAGCTTTTGAAAAGTAGTTGTGAGACATCTGAGGCAGTCGTGGGGAAGCTACAGAGGGTTTTCTAGCTGTGGCAACAGATACCTAGAGACTGAGAGCAGAGTTATTGTGAAGAATTGAAGGGTTAATGTTTAGCTAGTCCACCTGGAAGCAGGCGGGGCACACCCTGACTGTTTCGTAGAAGCAATGCACACATTGCTCTATCCAAGGACAAGGGCTAGATATGAACCATGAGAACTTGATTGTTTGGACAGCAACGGTGGGAGGCTTTCTTAGCCTGGGCTCAAGGCCTGAGAACCAGGATTGTAGTAGATAGGGGATGGTAACTAAGTATATGAATTAACGTCACACATTCCTTTGTGTAGCAGTGTGTAATGCTTAGGGGGAGAAATATAATAAAAGGAGAAGGTGGAAGGCGGGGGGGCAGAGAACGCCCATCTCAGCTGACCAGCCTGCCTGCTTGCAAAAAGCTGTGTTCTGTCTCATCACTGAACCGCCACAACTGGCGCCCAAACGTGGGGCCCTCAGCACTCACCTCGCCCGGCAAGGGTTTCAGACGCGTCACTCATCTGCTTCGTGGATCCCGGTGAGTATTTTTCATTGTGGTAAGTATGGGAAGCTCCCTCTCTGCTTTGCAAGTGCAACACCGCAATGAGCTGCAGTATTTGCTGCGTAAGGCTCAGCATGACTGCCCGGCTCGAGCACTTACTCTCCTGCTACAGGAGGTGCGTGCCAAGTGCCCATGGTATCCTGAAGCCGGAAGCCTTAAGCTAGCAGACTGGGAGCGATTGGGCCAGACATTGCACAAAGAGCCTCGGGCGTCCGTGCAGGCTTTACATGCCTGGCACCTCTGCCGCGATGTGGTACAGCGTGTCGCCTCCGACAGGCCCTCCCTCGCGAGGCTGCCGATCCCGCCGCCCCCGTCTGCTCCTGCAGCCATCCCCCCTCCTGGCGATGCGACACAGCGTGTCGCCTCGGAAAGGCCCTCTCCAGCACCAACAGAGGGGCTGCCGATCCCGCCGCCCCCGTTCGCTCCTGCAGCCATCCCTCCCCCTGCTTTGCCCCCAGTGCCTCTATTACCACTGCCTCCCTGGCCTTCCCCACCGGAGCCGGTGTGTGATCACCCTCCCCCGTGGGGCCCCCCCGGAGGGTCATCTGCATCTGCTCAGAAGCTTTCGCTGGTGCAACAAATGGTTCACGCAGCGAAAGCTCGATCAGATCTTACAGCGGAGGAGCTGGCTGATCTGGTCTCAGTTTGCCCGGTGACCTGGCAGAATGATGACCAGGGCAACCCCGTGGGCACCTGGACCACTTTGTCATACTCAGTGGTTAGAGAGGTGAGGAAAGCAATTCGTGAGTTTGGCCTGACTAGCACCTTTGTGCGTGGTCTCGTTGAAGGGATGGGTACTGGGTACTCCCTAATCCCTGAGGATTGGAAAACGCTGCTGCGCATGATGTTGTCACCCAGTCAGTATGTTATTTGGCTTAGTGAGTATCGGCAGATGGCAGAACGCCAAGCTCAGGTACATAGAGAGCGCGGTATCATTTATGAGCATTTGGCAGGGGAGGGCCCGTTTGCTACTATTGAGATGCAGTCTCAACTCCCTCAGGCTGTCTTCCCCATTATTTCCACCTGTGCCCAGCATGCTTTCAAGAAGGTCCCGGATTCAGGCAAGCCTACCAAAAGCTTTGTCAGTATCCGTCAGGGTGCCTCAGAGTCCTTTTTGGATTTTACCAACAGATTGCAGGAGGCCATACCCTTGCTACTATCCGCCCTTTTGTGCTCCCTGTCCACCTCAATATTTGGGGCCGTGATTTACTTACAAAGTTAGACACCACCCTCGATATTAACATTTGATGGCCCAAAACCCTCCCTCACCCACCGTGCCCTCCGCCTTACCCTTGGTATGGCAATCCTTAGAGCCCGTATGGATTGATCAGTGGCCCCTCCCTCTAAAAAAGCTAAAAGCACTTCATTCGCTTGTGCAGCAGCATTTGCAAGCACAGCGACTGGAGAGCTCCACTAGTCCCTGGAACACCCCGGTGTTTGTTATTAAGAAAAAATCGGGTGCTTGGCGACTGTTACATGATTTAAGGGAAATAAATAAACGCATCCAACCTATGGGCCCCTTGCAATTTGGCTTGCCAAATCCAAATTTAATTCCTCAAACCGATCAACTTTGTGTGTTAGATTTAAAAGATTGTTTTTTTTTTACCATCTCCCTTTGCCCTCAGAATTAGCTGCTGTTATTTTGGCCTTTCAACCTTTTGCTGATTGTCCCTTTAATTTAATTGTGGATACCTATTATGTTTATTAGGTAATTGATTATTTACCCCTTGCCCTCATTACCCCTCAGGTTGATGCAGACCTCCTTCGCCTGTTTTTGTTTTTGCAGCACCTTTTTGCCACTTGTCATTTCCCTTATTTTGTTGCTCATATTTGCAGTCATACCCCTCTGCCTGGGCCACTCACTGAGGGCAATGCACGCGCCGGTCGCGCGTTGCGTGGTCAGGTAAATTCCCTTTTTTCTGACCCCATTGAAAGCCATGCCTTTTTTCATCAGTCTGCCTCTGTTTTGGCCCGGCAGTTTCACATTCCTGCTGATCATGCACGTTCCATTGTTCGTTCCTGCCCCCACTGTGCTACTGCTGCTCCTACTTTTTCTTATGCCGTTAACCCCCGAGGTACCGCAGCAAATCAGCTGTGGCAGATGGATGTTACTCATGTGCCACAATTCCGCCCCTATTTGTTTTTACATGTTTCCGTTGATATTTCTTTAAGTTTTTTTTTGGGCTTCCCCACAACGTGGGGAAGCCACTAACAAAGTTATTCACCATTTGCTGGCCTGCCTTTTTGTTATGGGTCGCCCCTGCCAAATTAAAATAGATATGCCCCAGCCTACTGCTCTGCAGCCCTCTCCACCTTTTGTGCCCGCTGGGACGTCCGTCTTACACACGGAATCCCTTATAATTTCACGGGCCAAGCCATTGTTGAACGTGCCAATCGCACCCTCAAAATCTTGCTAGATAAACAATTAAAACAAGGGGAGCTGCGTCTCCGAACCTTAGGAGACATTTAACAACAAATGCATATCCTCTTGTTTACTTTAAATAATTTAACACTGAATGCAGATCAGCAGACCCCTGCGGATCAGCATTTTCACAAATCTGAGGTACTGGAAAGACCACATGTCTATTACTGTCAGCTGCCCGATCCACAGTGGCTGGGCCCAGTACCTCTAATCACTTGGGGTCGGGGATATGCTGCTGTGTCTCTCCCTGCAGGACCGTTGTGGGTTCCAGCTCGGTGTGTGCGACCGGCACTTAAACAACATGGCATGGCACCAGGGACTGTCGAATCCCATACCGGAGTTCAGCTGACCTTGGAGGAGACCGCGTTGCCCCCCGAGTCGACAACGACGGGACGGAAACGGAGGAGGCGTAGCGTCCCAAGCCAGCCCGTGACATGGGGAGCAGTAAAAGCATTGGTTGCCACGGCTCAACGAAGACTGGCAGCAGATCAACAGCCAGAGACTCCTGAGACTTTGTTTGTGGCGATTCTCGCCCAAATCACTGCTAATTCTGTGATGATTGTGTGCCTTTTAAGTGCCTGCTATTTCCTAAAAGAAGTGTAGCCCTTTTAGATGATTATATTGCAGATGTTGAGCTTTTGGTTATTTTGTGTTTGTAATCATTGGGCTTATTTTTTGCTGCTGCTGTGTACAATGTATTCTTTCCTTGTTAAGATTTTGTAAAATTTTGCCCTGGAAAGCTCCCCAGGTTATGTCCTTGTCTGTCTGGGAGTTAAATAGCATGACAAAACAAATTGACGGCTACCACGAGATGGCCAAATATCAATAAATAAAAAATGGGGAGATGAAGGGTTAATGTTTAGCTAGTCCACCTGGAAGCAGGTGGGGCACACCCTGACTGTTTCGTAGAAGCAATGCACACATTGCTCTATCCAAGGACAAGGCTAGATATGAACCATGAGAACTTGATTGTTTGGACAGCAACGGTGGGAGGCTTTCTTAGCCTGGGCTCAAGGCCTGAGAACCAGGATTGTAGTAGATAGGGGGATGGTAACTAAGTATATGAATTAACGTCACACATTCCTTTGTGTAGCAGTGTGTAATGCTTAGGGGGAGAAATATAATAAAAGGAGAAGGTGGAAGGCGGGGGGGCAGAGAACGCCCATCTCAGCTTACCAGCCTGCCTGCTTGCAAAAAGCTGTGTTCTGTCTCATCACTGAACCGCCACAAAGAATGGTATTGCCATCTTACCCACATGGAATGTAATAACAAGTATTTGGATTATGACATACTGTTAATTAACTGGTTTCAGAGTAACAGCCGTGTTAGTCTGTATTCACAAAAAGAAAAGGAGTACTTGTGGCACCTTAGAGACTAACCAATTTATTTGAGCATGAGCTTTCGTGAGCTACAGCTCACTTCATCGGATGCACCACTGTATGCATCCGATGAAGTGACCTTTAGCTCACGAAAGCTCATGCTCAAATAAATTGGTTAGTCTCTAAAGTGCCACAAGTACTCCTTTTCTTTTTGTTAATTAACTATTGATTTGTTGGAGGATGAACTAAGCCATCAGCATACTTTTTTTTTTCTAATTAGAATAATAACTTTTTTCCCCACTCACCAAGTTACGAATCTACCAAAAAATAATTTTACAGGCAGAAATGTAAAACAAAAATAATAATCCTAAATTATATAAGATACTGTACTTCAATTATGCTTAATAAATTAGATGCATCATAAAAATAGTAGGCAAAGGTTTTCAGTATCCTCATACTATGTTCAGAAGGGTTGTGCACTTCCATCCCCTGTTGGTAGTAAACAAGTTAGCATCTGACAGTTTTCATATGACTTAGTGTTTTGTTCACTACCCAAGTTTGCTATGAATTAGTGGTCTCAGTACAGTTCCAAATATGCAGGTGTCCAGTAATCTCTGTCCTAAATACCATCATTATAATTGGAACCCTTGTTGGCAGTCTCACCAGAAAGGTTGAATACTGAAGTGGCAAGGAGAATGAAATACCCTGTCACCCAGAGAAGGTGGTTCATTTAGATTCAGGTTGAGGCAAACTACAAGTGTGGCGTGGCAGCTACCACGTCTGGCGAATCTGTTCTCGGGATAAAAAAAGGACCTTTGTGTGCATTGCCCATTAGTCTGGCACCATTAATCATCACTAAATTAATGTTAAAATCTAATTTTCTATTGAATAGTGGCCAGAGGGGAGTCCAAAGTTTTTCTAGTTTGATCAGGCCTTTCACTGATGTCTATACCTCTAAGATCCAATTTTTCCCCTTTATCCACAATGCTAAAACTCTCATGAAGGCCCTCATCATTTTGCATCTTAACTGCTGCAATGCCCTCCTCTTTAGCCATGACAAATGTCATTTTATCCCATTTATATCCATTCATAATATTGTTGCAAGGATCCATTTCCTGATTGTTGCTTCAACCACACCATCTCTTTCTTTACATCCTTCCACTGGATCCTCATTATCAAATACATCAAAGTTGACTTCCCTTTTAGAGAAGGTGGGCCTTCCCACCTTAGTTATAATCCTATTCCCACCATAGTTATAATCTCTTACATGTTATTAAGCCTTCAACTGCTATCCTTACACCACCATCATATTTTTTTTATTATACTATTAAAGAAACAGACTGGGGTGACCTGTATTATATAGTAGACATGAAATCTGTGGTCAGGTATGGGCTAGAACTTGAAATTTTCTTCTTTTGCAGAGGGAGCCCCAAATTATATCAGCATGAGTTCTCTCTCAGATCTTTTGATCTGGAGTGTATGATAAGGGTCTCTCATCTAATGACACAGAAGGATGCATGATACTTGATCATCTGATGGTGGGGCTTTGAACTTTTGCCTAGGCCTTTGTTTTATTTTGAAGAACCACCCCTTTCCCCCAAAATCACACTTCCATTCATCAGTGGATACTTTGTACAACTAATATTGTGTTTTGAGGGGACTGCCAGATATTAATGGTTACAGAGAGATAGCATAGTTTGTACCTTTTACTTGTAGCTTGTGAATATCACCTACATCACGCAACTAGCTTCTGCTTGTGCAGAGAAGTAAAGTTCAGAATCAGGCCTTGTTATGAAAGCCACATCGCTTTGTTCCTCCCACACTGCCAGCTGAGCCACTGGACAACACTAAATGAAAGCCTAGAGCATTAGAAATTATTGCAAACCACATTTTTAATAAAAAGGGATCTTAAAACTGGAGAGATCACTTGAAAGTGGTCATGATCCACCAGGATGTCAATTCTGCAAAGGTTTAAATTTAATCATGTGAGTAATCTGACTACATTCCATGACAGTACACACATGCTTAAAATTAAGCACTTGCACAAGTATTTGCAGGTTGGTGCATCTTTTTCTTGGGACTGATTTGTGTAACTTTCTGTTATGGAGTTTTAAATTGTTTTATTTTTTGCTTTTTTTATGGCTCAATTTGCTTATACATCCATTAGTCCTTATGTGGAAGAATAAATGGGTAAACACAATTTTGTCTCTTGTTATAGATATAGTTGAAACCAGCAGGGAGTTACATAGCAAAAAATAATACACTGAGAGTAAGAGAGAGACTGCTGTAAGCACCACAATGAAAACTTTGAAATCAATTCATACATACATATTAAGGTATTTGGTTATGTTGTTGCAGACGAGATTTATTGCCATCTGTAGAATTTTAAACCTTCTCTTTTGAAAATAATTTACATACATGTTCACAAATATAGTGGTATCTACTTACTTTTAACATGTGGTACAGTTCCCATTACTTGGAATGTGCAATATTTTTGTTCTCTAGCAAAATCTATTATTTGTTCCAGCTTTCATTTTTGTACAGTGTAAATATATACTTGTAACTCCTAGAGAGCAGTAATTGAAACATATTTGAATAGTTAAAGATAGGAGAGAATGCTGTAGATATTCTGGGCTATGTATTCTTATGATCCACTAGTACATGTCCCACTGGTGTTTAGTGGAAGTTTTTCTAACAGGTCAATGGGAGGATATGGCCTTATGAGTTTAAAGGATTTGGGAAGAATGGGTTGAATAGACTAAATATACTGGGTCAAATTCTCAATCAGCATATACTAACTGAGGGACACCAATTTATCCCCGAGTCTAGACCTTTTTACTTTTTTTGTTTTTGTCTTTGAAAAACAAAAGTTATTTTTATCCTGTTCATCTTATTCCCTCCTATAAATAAAATACATGATCAATATGGATAGGAAGGTTTAAGAAGGAGGCTGAAATACAAAACAGAAAATCCAACAACACATGTTGTAATGTGGTCCCATTCAAAAGGAAAATCAAATTGTAAAATAAAAGCTCAGTCCTGAAAAAAGTTTAAGGGAAACTGTGTCATGGTGGAAAATAGTGAATGAGAGATCTTAGACCTGGGTTAGGGAAAGGCTATATTCCATTGTCATAACCTTAAACTAAGACAAGAAAGGTTTCATTTGGACACTATAGATCAGATCCTCAGCTGGTGTAAATCAGCTTGGTTGTACTGAAATCAATACTGCTATTGCAACTGACACAACCTGGAAATCTAGCCAAAGGTAAGACTTCCTCACTCAAAGAGTCATGGATAGTCTCATAAGTCTACAACAAGAAATAGCATGGGTTACTAGTATAAGGGAACTAAAGATGGACGTTTGTTTGCATATAGAAGACAGGTATGGGTCTACTGTGCCCACTCAGAAGGTTATTCATACCGGGAAGCAGAGCTGGGAATAAATGAAACAGTTGTTTCTTCCAATTTTCTATTTCTAGTTAAATTTAAGTTTCTGCTGTAAATTTAATCCCCTCCTTCCAGAGAAATAATTTACTATCATTTATTTGTTCTTACTGTAATCTGATAAAAAAACATGGTACTTGCCATTGCAACTCAATATCTCAAGGTGAATATGTTCAGGAATGTTAAACAATTTGTTAGAGTTCTTGTGTGATAAGTGTTTTTTTTTTTTTTAATGTGGCCACAGTGATATTGATGATTCATCACTGTGCTACTTTTTTTTTTCACTGGTGTAACTCCATTGATTTCAATGGCATTTCACTGGAGTACTGCAATTGTGAATTAGACTCAACCATGGATTATAGTAAAGTAGAATGTTACTCACCACTTAACCTTCCTTCCCAGGAGTTTTCAATGAAATTAATTAATTTTCCCTACTGGACCAAAACAAAAAAAAAGTCTTTTGAATTAGCTTCATGGTAATATACAAATACCTTAATTAGTATCAGTCCAGATCACCTAGAGTGATACCACAGAGTTGAATTGATGGCATTAATATACACTGCTAAAGCCAATTATGAAATGGCTTTGTAACTTTGAACAAAATGATGGCTGTCAGTCACTCTCTTGACTGTGATGTCCAATAAATTCATGAGACTAAGTGTTCTACCTATGTATGTATTTCCTAGTAGATCATTTCATAATATCAGATAGACTTCTTGGAATAGTGCATTATCCACACAGTTATTTTACTCCTGGTGGTTAAAGTTACCCAGTTTTTCGCAGCCTTTCTTATAATGAGAGAATAGCAAAATTTCCAAGGTCAGATCAGGAATAACATCCTTACTAATTTGAAGATTAGAGTAAAATCCCACACAACCACTCACAAACATTTGCATGAAATAAATCCATCAACCTCTTTCTTAATGGATTTGTATATTCTACTTTTTCTGTTTGAGGAAGCCACTCTAATAATATTCTATAAAACCCAATGAGGAACTTGTTATGACTTTGTACAAACACCACAATCAATTCCTCCCTTTACTAGTGAGTTAGCTCTCTTCCTTGGTTGTGGAAATCCTCCTTATGGATCTTCACAATCACCATCATTTTATCTGCTCTTTGCAAGATTTGTGATTGCCAGCTGTGACAAGGGGAAGTCGTGCTCAGGCAACATACTTTACACATTGGAATAGAACCAAGAGTGTAAGGGGAAAGGTGGTACTACTTACACTTGCCTTTTCAAAATAGTTTGTCATGAGAAGCAGATATACTGGATGGAAACTTTTCTGGTTCACTTCAGAAGATATATTTGTTGAACATCTGCAGTGGAGGAGGCATCTATAAGTGAGGCCTGTGATCTGTCATTTTATTCTGCTGAATATACACAGCCAGACAGCTCCACAAAAGCTGCTAACATTAAAGGTGTTGTGTCTTTGGACCTTGTGAAATGGAGCATTTGGACACGTTAGCCACTGAGAAGCAAACAGAAAATTAATACGTAAAGAACCAACAGGAAGGGGACTGCTTAATACAGATGTTGGATTACCTTTTGTGAAACAAACAGCAGAGAATGTAATGTACAAAACCATAAAAAAACTGAATTCCTT